CTTTCTACGCTAAGAATTGGGTGACTAAACGCTTTTAAAAAATCACACTGTTTTGTGGCTTCTACTAAATATCATCATCATCATCATCATCACTAAACCCTCACAGCTTGCGGTGCATCAGTCAGGAAAGGTTTACGTGTTATCGCTAAAAATCTCGCTATAACGAGAACGATTCTTACGTCCAGAATTGACCTGATTTCCAAAAGCCTAAAACTGTCTGACTGACGCTCTCATTGGTCAACAACTGCCTACATCAAGACCATGTCATTTTGTCAACTCTTGGCCACATGACGTATCGTCGTTTTCGCCGTTTCCATAGCAACAAGAATCACGACAGAAACGTTCTACGATACAGATTTGGCTATTAAACACTTTTTTAAATCGTCGGGTGGCTTCTACCAATTATCATCATCGAAGAACCTCACAGTCCGCCTGGAAACGTTTATCGCTAAAAATCTATTTCTCTATAACGCGTGCGAATTTTACATCCAGTAGCTACTGTCAATTTTTGGCCACATGACGTAGCATCGTTTTAACAAACGTTGACATTTAACCTGCCGCTAGACAGACGAACATGAACGACAGCCTCTATGTGATGGATTCTAGAGGTTTCGAAGTTGTAACGACGGTTTAGTCAACGCAGATAAATACAAAAATAATTTAAAATAAAGAGAACGCAAGTTTGCGAAGTATTTTTCCCATTTGTTTTCTCAATGAGGACGTCAAAATAGAGAGTTGTGATGCAAACCGACCAGCTCAAAGATGAATCTTTTCAAATTAGCAAATGCTACCAAACTAAATTCACTTTCGCAAACTCTTGTGTTTCACCATCTCAAATGCTTTTATACAGCCATCAGAACTGTGAGACAGAAGACAGAGAGACAGACATTTATACAGACCACAGCGAGGAAGGAAGGAACCTCGCTCAAACAGAAAGACAGACTCTGTTGCCTAAAAATCAAAAAACCAAAAGAAAAAAGAGAAGGAGAGTCTGTCAGGAAGCAACACTCAAAACCACAAGAAAACTGACGGAGCGGATCTACGACTGTCCCTCTGAGAAGAACCAGAACATCAGAGGTTCGTGAGATACTACAGAGCCCACAATGTGTTAATATTAAGCGGCGGGTCGCGACTTCTCGGGGTCGATGAACGGGTGCCACCACAAACATCTCAAAGTTCACATCAACATATTTTTTTTCAGGTGTTGAGAGTGGGCTTCTCTGGCCTTGACGGCTTCCTCATGTTTGTATTTTTGCCTAAAGTTGAACTTGTGATGAATGAAAGCACTTTAAACGTTTATCCAGTGTTTTTACAGCCCGTTTCTGGAGTCCAGTGAGAGTTTGTTCAGTTAGTAAACACACACTGTGTGCCAGTATGTTGCAAGAGGACGGACCGTAACAAAAACACCCCAAAACAACTTTCACCTACAAACAACACAAGCCTGATCCATCCATCCATCTATCCATCTATCTATCTATCTATCTATACATCCATCTGTGCATCTATCTATCCATCCATCTATCTATCTATCCATCTATCTATACATCCATCTATGCATCTATCTATCCATCCATCTATCTATCGATCTATCTATCTATCTATCCATCCATCCATCTATACATCCATCCATCCATCTATCTATACATCCATCTATGCATCTATTAGGGCTGTGCGATATTGAAGAAAAATGCGATATGCGATAACTCATTAAATAATGCGATATTCGATGATACGATAGATAATGCTTAAAGTGCCACATGCTCAGATGAAACAGTTTTACTCAGCTGTTGCTGAGTCAGTTCTGTGAACTTCTATAACTATCTTGTGTCATAAACTGTATATATGGTTATTTGTATGTATGTATGCAGGGGCGTAATTTCCACTGGGGACAGGGGGGACATGTCCCCCCCACTTTTCAAAAT